TAAGGTCTCCTCAGAGCCTTCTCTTCCCCAGGCTGAACAGCCCCAACTCTCTCAGCCCATCACCACAGGAGAGGTGCTCCAGCCTTCGGCTCCTCTCCTCATTCACTAGAGTGGAGACATCTTTTTCTTCTTGCCAAGAAAAAGCCATTGTCACAGCTATCACACTACTGCAAATTGCAACCTATAGCAAATACATTCATGGTATCTTGCGAGGTCCACACGCTGTGGGCAAAAGAAGTGTGTGTGTCTTTGTGTTTGGAAACGGGCAACAAAATGTGCCTCTGCCTAATTCTTTGCCTTGTTCACTAATCAGAGCTGGGGATACCACCACAGTGCCACTAAGAAGTAGGGTGCAGCCTAAACTTGGGGGTAAATATGCACTGTCTTTACAGTACATTTCTCTGACTTCACTTACCTCTGGTAGATCTGTGGTAGGGCCAAAATTGAGGAAATATCAGCAAAATGTCAACAGTCCCTGAGAGACACCAACCTTTGCCAGGGAGCAGTGAAAAAACAACATATTTCTTAAAACTCTGCTGAGAAATTAAATCAGACTGTCAGGTTAAAATTCTGTAATAAAAATACAAGGTTGAGGTTACTAGAAGGAAATGAGTTCACTCTAAACTTTAATTTACCTTTTTTGATACCCCTGGGTTACTCTCTCACAGATTACACAAAAATAAACTAGACAGATTCAGGCTTTGGTTCCCTTACATTAGGTCAGATGCTCTAAAGGACTTTGGCAGGGGGTGGGAGGAACAGGGGACCAACAGACAACTTTCGATGGGAATAGATGTCAGATATCTGGCTAGCTGGGTCTGCATACTTTTGGGGCAGGTTCTTTAATTTCTCCATTTCTCCATTATTCAGAACAATAAAGAATGTTGTTTCTCTCCATTGCAAAGCCTGCAATAGGCTCAGACACTGAAGGAACAAACAGCAGCACCAACAGTCCAACAAATGCATGAGCTGTGACTGTTACCCCAGCAGCAGGTGGGCTTTAAGTGGTTCCAAAAATCGAGGCCTCTCAGAACAGTTTAGATGCACTTGTATAAATCTACACAGAAATGAAAGTTTAGGAAAAGTCTGGTTTACCCACATGGTTTGTTACATTCTAATACAGCTACCAAAGTTGATGGGACTTGCCCTCTGCCTCCCCTGCAATCAGTAAATCCAACTTCCTTTTTGTCCAGGTGGACCAATGCATTTTCCCTTCACTGGATAAGCAGAACACCAAAACCAAAAACATCCACTGGGTTCTGTGTCATATTCTGCTCTTCCAGGAACAGAAAGCTGTTCACCAAATTTACTTTGCAGGCTTGGTGGGAGAATGGCCACGTCTCACCACCAGCCACTTCTATGGGAACAAAAGCTTCACTTTCCCCAGCTTCACTCTGGAGAACAGCTGTGCAGGTTCTACTCCTGTACATGATCCATGGAGAGACCTGTGAGCAGCTCCACGAGCACCCATGGGCTTTCAGAAGACTTCACAAGATTGATTGCAGGGTGGGTCTCAAATTTAACACAGAAGAGTCTGTCAGCATCACTGATTTTCCCTTTTGCTCTCAACAGAAGGCTATGCTGACATTCAACTTCTCTAAGAAGGTGAGGAGGGATGTAGAAGAACAATAGATTTTGAGACAATTTTTTTTTAATTTTTTTTTTTTTTTCTGTTTAAAAAGACTGACACCAGCACTGCTTTATCATTTTCCAGAATTGCCTGATGTTAGCTGGTATCCACTGAGTCAGAATGCCAGCGACATTTGTTAGCATGAGGCACAGCTTTAGGACTAGGGCAGTCTACCAGCACTGCAATCAGTTGAGATCTTCTCTTCCATTTTCCAGCTCAGTGCCCAATTCCATATTAAACAAGCACTGGTACTAGTGGAGTCACAGAACATGAAGCTAGACAATAAAGCCCTGAAGAGCAGAGGGAAGGCAGTTCCATTACTTTGTCTCCCTCTGGGTAGAGGAGTCAAACAGAAGTTCAATAGCTCAAACTCTGTCCTGCTGCAATCCTGAAGTGAGCTGCAGCTGGAGCAGCCCATTGCTGCCATAAACAAAGCAGGGCAGGATGCTCTCCCCACATCAGGGAGCAGCGTCCAGCAGGGCTCAGACAAGCTGCAGTGGCTGCCTCCAGCAGGCACATACAATACAGGGGAGTCTGCATCAAATCTACCTCTGCTTCCACCTCCCTCTTGTCCCCATAGTACACTTAAGCTCCCCAGGCACTACCCACTCAAAACTGTCCACAATTCAGCCCCCACCAGCTCCTAATTCATACAACTCCTGAGTTTCTGCCCTCCCTGTAGTCACAGGGACTCAATGCAGTCTTTATCTGTGGCTCTTCTCAAACAGCACAGCACCCCCTGCATCGTTCCCTGTTAACAACTATGCCTTCTGCTTCATTCCTGGAATAGCTTCTAACTCTTTCCTTCAAGCCAGATTCATTAACCAGCTGCTGCAGAGTTGTTTGCCTCCCCCAGGTACTCTGTGCATGTCATTTGTTAATGACTCATCTCAGACTGGGCTCATTGCAAAGACACCCACCTCCTTTTGCAGCACAGAGCACGGTCGCGGCACAACAGGAAAGCTAAACATGTGACAGCTCAGTTCCCCCCAACACCCCATTCCCTTCTCCATCCTCTTTGCTGTCAAACATGGGACAGCTCTTTATCCAAAGTGCTATTTCCTTCCTCGCTTCTTTGCTGATCAAAGGCAATATGTATTGGAGTATAAATAAGATCTTCACCCCCAGCCGTGTTTTGAGAACAGCAAAAACCTAAGAACAAACTTGAAAACTTCCAACACACTAAAGAAGCTTCAGCAAACTACTGTGACTCCTGTAACTGGCAGGGAATAAACACCAAGGATGCCAAATTCACCTCTATTTCCCCAGCAGACTTTGGCTTGCGGAGGAGCTAAAACAATTTCCAAAGGCATTTGTATTCCTCCTGCCTCCTTGCAGGACTGATATTAAAAATGGAAAGAAAACAGCTAGTGAGGACCAGAGAACCTCTCCATACTGGTCAAATCAAGCGAGGAATTGGATGACCAGCACACTGCAGCTACCCACACAGGAAGCCAGAACCTCACTCCTTCTCCATCACACAGATCTACTCATTTGGGTACACAAAGTCCACTTACACCTCCTGAGAAGCTGCTTGCTGATCACTGGGAGAAGCTGCTACAGAAACTAGCACTGACACTTCTTGGGAAACAGTCCCCTTGAGACATAGGGGAAGGCTTCGTGCTCTGGGCTTATTCACTTAACATCATTCCCCAGGAATTTTTTGGCCAGCCTTTCTAGGGGGAGGGAGAGCTGGCAAAGAATTAGAAACCAAGGGACTTGACCCAGAGACGACTGAATGGGAGGTATTTAGATCTACCTCTCAAGATTAAAAGCTGGTGTGCCTGCATGGCAGGGGAAGAAAAGGAGAGGAATTTACTTTCACAAGTGCGCAACAAGCCCTGTGACTGAGGACTGAAAACACAGAGCCAGCAAAGAATTCTGGTAGCAGCAAGAGGAAGGCACATGCATTGCAAAAGCAACTGCAGGTGACAGTTGGCTGCAGGACTGGAGCATTGTCACAGTCCTCTGCTTAAACAGCTCCCCTGCTCACTCATGGAAAGCCCTTCTCTGTACAGCATGGAGTGAAGTGAAACACAGAGGCAAAACTCCAAAGCAGTACTGCCACACACAGAGGAAGGAATCGACTGGCCTAAGAGAGCACAACTACAAACCTTCCACAATCTGGCATCAAAGACGTTCAGGCTCAGGACACTGGGCTCAGCTACTGGATTTGCCACAGGACTTTCTGCACAAACGTGGACAAAGATGAACTACTGGCAAAATGGGAGAAGCACTTCCCTGACTTCCGGATGCATCAGGGAGATGAGTCAGACCTTCTATCAGGAATCAAGTAAATGCTCAAGTGAACAAGTACTGTTGGACTACAAGCCTAAAGCAGCCTCAAAGTCAAGACTCCAGACTCTGACATTAAATCAGCATTTTTAATTTTTTTTTCTAAGATGTGCTTTTTTGTCCTTCTGTTCCAATGCCAACCCCATCCTCCCCTGTAAAAAAAAATAACCCATACCTTGCCCAACGAGGTGCAAATCACCTGAAGTTAGTTTGTAACAAATAAAAAAAAACAAACCACAAAACAAAGGCTGAAATGCTTTAGAATCACAACAATGTAAAAAAAAAATCAAAAAAAAACAAAGGGAGGAAAACACAACCTGAAAGTGTTCAAAATTCAGAAAAGACTAGTCAAGTCCATTGCTTCAGCAAGGGGATGCTGCTGCGACCCCTGCCAGTGGGTCCTGGGCCACCAGCCTGCCACGATGCTAAAAGGGCTCTTCTTCCATGCAGATCTCTGTCACTAGCATCCACAGAAGAGCAAATGCATTACCCCTTGAAGGTATCAATGGGGGAAACAACTCACAAGCAGCTCTGGGAGGCCACATTACATTCAGAAGGAACAGTTTCTAGGATGCCCCTAACCACCTGCAAGGGGGAAAGCTTGAAAGAGCAGCCTGCTTCCTCCTTATTGTATTGATGCCTCAGAGATGCAGAACAGTGCTTTGAATCTGTGAGAGATTAAAGGGCTTAGTAAGGGCAGTAAACAGACAGTTAAGTAAACAGCCCAGCACTGGATCTCATCTTCACAGAGCGAGGTAGTGTGAATTTTACCCCAGTTTAAAAAAGACAGGGGTAGCAGAAAGGCTGAAGACTTCCATGTAAAGCAGCTCCTGGCCTATAAATCTTTCTGTGCTCCCTTTGAAAATAAAAAGATCTGTGTAGATGGCTTCCTCGCTCCCAGCCTGGCTTTGGCAGCCACACTTCAACCCTGGGATTCAGACACTCTCCCAAGATCTGATTTAGTACAGCAGCTTCCTCAAGGTTAAGCAGCAATGAAACTGGTTGGGAGGGAGCAAAACTGTCCACAGATTTTTTTCTTCCCTGCCCCTTTTGGTTAGGTCCCTCTCTTTAGAAGTCCCTCTTTACAGGACCAGAACAGGGACACCCTGGAAATTACAAGGGGCTGCACAGTGTAACTTAGCCAGGTGCTGCTGACTGGGAGCTGTATTGAAACAGGGCTTTTATCTGCCAGCCTGGAAGGGACTGGCCCAGAACCCACTGAAAAAGGAGACGCAGGCCCTTTTTTGCTCCTCCTGTTGTCATTCCTAACTGAATGACATTTACATGGTATGTTCTAGTGACGGCTGGAGACCAGCCCTTTGACTTTGGACATCTTCTTTGTGGGCTGCCTTTGTTCCGTGTGTGGAGGGCACTCTCGCTCTACCAGCTGCTGTTCCATCTCCTGTGCCGACGACGAGGCTGTAGCTTTTAATGTTTTCTTTATGTTTGTGACCTGGCCAAGAAGAGACAGTGAATCAGCACCTGCTTCTTCCTCCCCTTGCAGTAGAAACTCTGTTCATAAACATAATGAAAACCCCTGGAGTACAGGGAGGGGATTATAAAACAAAACTTTCCTATCAGAAACATGCTCAGCACTTGAGTTTATTAAAGGTAATGTTTCATCCTCACTTAGAGCCAGGAGTTGTTAATATTTCCAGTCTGGGTCCAGCATGGAATAACTAGAGAATTTTTTTTCTTAAGACACACAGGCACAATATGGTAGCACTGTTCTGGCTGGCTGGAGGGACCTACTATTGCCTTGGTGCAGGAGGCCGTCCTACCATTCTGTTGGCCAGAAGCTGTAAGGACAAAGGAGACTGCAAACGAAACAAACTTCTACTTTGGACAGCACTTGAAAAGGGAAAATGCCACTTGGTCTAGCTAGCTGGCTGGCTTAGTCACATGTATCTGCTACAAGGAGGAACAGAAATTGGTTTAGTGGGAGGCAGCAGTAATGCTTCTGCTGCTTTGCCTGAAAAGGAGGGATACAGCACCAGGCACCACATTCTGTCTGCCAGAACCCCAGAGGGGTCACCAAAAATACAATGAGCAAACCATAAAAAAACCCCAAACTAAATAAATAAAATAAAACAACAACAACAACAAAAAAACCAATAAAAAAAAAACATAAAACACAGGCCAAAACAAGTTTGGGAGTCAGGTGTGCCAACTCCAGGCCAAAAGCATCTGGCAAACCAATTGCACTGTGTATGCCAATCAAGCCGCCAAGCATATGCTGCTTCAAAAGGCAAACACAAACCTGCAGGGATGCAGCACTCTGCAAGAAATAAACCCTCAGCAAGTGTCTCAGGAGGACCATTTTCACCTTTACAGCTGTATTAGCCAAGATTTGTTCTCACAAGTAAATGCACATCAGCAGGGGCTAAAATCGTGAGCCCGTGCTGCCATCTACTGCCGAGCAGCAAAGGCAACGACAGCGGGAGCACTCCCGGGTTAGACTGCCCAGGAGAGTGTGCCACAGTCAGGCCGCAGTGCTCAGCTTCACCCCACGGAAAGACCCCGAGGGAAGCTGCTGAGGGCACTTTTTGCAAGAGCAATGAGACTCAAGGGGTTTTTGTTAACTACACTTCCACGTTTAAAACAACGTGAACTGTCTTTTTTTCTTACCGCATGTCTTGTACAAAAGGAACAGAACTGCATCCAAGCTCTATGTTCAAAGCACACTTTTCCTAACAAATCAACTCAGGAAACTGTAGCTAGTAGAGCCACCTAGCCTAAATTTATACAATTTTATATAAAAAAGTTCCAACCTGCTCAGAGTGGGCAAATTTGATGCTTGTGGTGTTACTAGCACATGAGAGCAGATGTGTTTTCTTCCTACCCCAAACCAGCACATCTGATTTGCATGATTGCTAGCCTGTTTCAGAGGAGCCATGACTATTAAGCAGGTGTTACCAGGTTATTTTCTTCAGCAAACAAACATTTATCAAAAGGCATAGAGCAGTGTGAAGTTACTTTGCACCCACCTCCATCTCCACCTGCTGTTGCGTTCGGTGATGGTTCTCTTTGTATTGGTTGGCTCTAAGTACTTGCTGCTCAATTCCCAAAAGAACCGACTCGCAACCATCACACCTGCAAGACACAAACCATGTCACACAGTGCTCATGAGTTCTCCTGTGCAGCAGCTCAGTTAGGCAACCTGACAAGTCATGTTCAGATTATTAAATTTATACTTCCTTCTTAAAGATCAGAATTCCAAAAAGCTGGCAAGAAAATTGCTGTTTGGTCAATGTATTTCACAGCATTCATTAGCCAGGCCAACTTACCTGCCCAGCAAAAAGCAAGCACAGGTTCGAGGCACCTTCAACTCCCTTTCTGATCAGAATTACTGCTTAAATAGGGATACATGTGTTTTTCAAAAGTAAGCAAAACTTTAAAATAAAACAACAGAGTCAAATTGAGAAAACCTCCCTGCCTGTTTAGTGCTAAAAGACAAGAAGCACTCCTCTAACACAGAACTCTTAACTGAGAGGACAGAAAAAGAACTGGCAGTGAATTCATTGTTACCTTCCAAACAATGCTATAAGGTCCTCAAAGCTGCCCTCCCACTGAGATGGGATTGAGGGAGTTAAGAGTAGAGAAGCAAAAAATCTGCCCCCACCTCAGGACAGCATATTTGCCCAGCAGTTTAATTACTTCTTATGCAGGCATTACCATAGCAACTAGGAACCAATTCTCAGTCAGCTCAGAACCTGTCACAGGCTCCACAGTCTACAGGGGAATTTCTCTGGACAGGAAGGGAATTCTATGAAAAGATGAGAAGCAGCTTCCTGGCAAAGGTACAAAAAGGTAGTACCACAGTCCCAATGTGGTTGCCTGCAGCCTGCATTTGCAGGAACAAAGAGAAGGCAAAGACATCTGAAACTTCAAACTTGAAGAGACATCCCCTCCAAAGAACTGAAATTCTCTAGAATTTGCCCATGCAGTTCTCACCACAGTGAAAAAGGCTGGTAAGTAACGGACAGGTCTGTTTTTGTTACCAAGTGTAACAGCAGAAAGGGGAGTAGTTCCCACCATAACATCACAGTCCAATTTGGCCTGTTTGAAAGGGCCCTTTGGCACCTCACTGTGGTTCTGCCCTATGAAATCAACAGTGGGAGCAGCATCTCAAGACCTGGTATAGTCTGACTTGGTACACAACACAAACTGAATCCTAGATGGGATCTTCAAAAGCCTGTCTAATAGACTACTTCTCCAAGTGTCTACTTACAGCATAAGGCTAATGAATGGAACATGGTGAAATTGAGCCAGCACCTGAAATTTTGAGAAATAAGAAAAAGATGGGACAAGGTACATACAAGGAAGGTGGAGAGACTGCCTCACCATTCCTGGAGTGTTTTGACAATGTTGCTGATGTCCTTTTTCTGAATGTCTCTGCCGATACAAAAATCCACCTCTAGCACCTGGTTTCGTTGATCCAGCTTCCCCTGGATAATATCTGTATAAACCGCTTCAATAATCAGATCTTCTAGCTCCCTCAGATTCCTCATATCCAGGTCCTTCAGCAACACAGAATATGGAATGCACTAAAAACAGCAAGTCCAAGGGTAAGTTAACAGTTCTAGAGGCAAAATGAACAGCCAAGTCTCAGAAGGTCAAGGCCCAAACACTTGTTGTATCCTACACTTCAGCCTGCAAGAACAGCAGTGATGGAGTGTGGCAGAACAAACACCTGCTACTAGTCTATGTTATATTCTGACACAACTCTGGTAACTCCTCAACCTCTGACATAGTACATTGTGGAGAAAAAAGAGGTAATGGCATTGTAGAAGGAATTAAGAAATGTTGATTAGTTTTCACCGGAACAAGAAGTCAGTGTTTTTAAGACTGATTCTCCAGCAGTGAAAGAAGTCATACAAAGCTCTCAGCCCTTACCAACCAACTTGCATGGCAGCCCAGACACACCCACACCTCATCCACACAAGTCCACCAAGTCAGTGGTCCAAAGGCACCATGACAGAATACTCTACATTACAGATACTTTCCTAGTTGCAGGACTTTTTGCAAGTACTCATGCAGTCCAATACCACTCCAATACTACATAATCAGTGCCATCTCCATAAACAAGCAAACAAAAAGTCTACTGCTATCACACACAGCGTACTTTACCTTCATCCTGGAAGCCAGGCTTACAATCGTCAAGTGTTTCAGCTTGTTTTTCTGAGTTGCTGTTAATTCAGGCAGGTTATCTTTATTTGCTGTTAAAGTTAAAAAGAAAAGATTCAGGACTTCCCTTCAAGCATTATATGATCCAGGCTGCAAAATTTCAGTCTAATTACACTAAAACCCTAAAGGCTGAACTCCTCCAGCCACTGTGAACATCAGGTGAGCAAGGAGAGCTGCTGCTGATGACAGATTAGCAAACCCAGGGAAAGACAGAAAAGCTTAAAAGAACTATTTGGGAATTCCATTCTCCTCCACTTCTTTAGTAACTCTGGTTTCAGAATTAGAATGTAATTCACATCTACAGAAATGGTGTCCAGCCAAAACAGTTGGTCAATGCTTTGTTTCTACCACCAAGTAATTTTTATTTCATTAATGAGCTGACAGAATAAAATCTTCCCCCTTTGCTGATCTGGTTGTAAATACAGTGGGTTTTGTTTCTCTGAAGAGCTTCAGAATTTAGGGCTGAAAGTGTAAAGCACCAGACTGAAGAAGAGAGGAGAAATTATTAATCTAGATACTTACGTGGCCTCATTGTCATTGTATTATATTAATGTCCCTCATGAATATTTAAAATAAGAAAGGAAAGTGGCAGTCTTCCAAAGCAAAGAAACTCTTTAAAATATCTCTTTTAATGGAAATTAGTGTTTCAGGGCCACTCAAGTTTCCCATCCATCCCATCTCATTCAATGCTCTACATTTTGATTACTTTTCCCCCTTTCTCTTTCTTCACTAGAAAAGGAAGAGTGAACTGGGCTGTCACATGCTGGGACACAAGACCCATGCTCAGCAAACACATCCTCTAATCAGTCACAGAATTCATGAGGCTCGTGTTGCTCCACAGCCACTGGAATTTCCAGACCTTGCACTTAAAGATGCCACTTGTCCTTAGAGGAACTAGACAGCTCATCCACCACAGTGACAGCCAGCACCACGGCAGAATTATTTGTCACACTCTGTAATGGTCTGGATTAGGTTGCTACCCACAAATGAAGTATTAAATTGTAGCAGAATGGAAGCATAAGCACCAGAGATAAAAGCACATCCAGACAGATACTATGATGATTCACGCATAGACCTTCTGTATAAAAGTCATTATTTCAATCTTTATTCTAGCTAAGAACTGCTTCCTTTTGTTTCAGCAATGCCATCACACAAAAAAAGTTATCCCATAAACCATATACATTCTCATAAATAATGCAGAACAATTTTGTCTAAGTTTTCTGCAGCTTCCATAATCAGTGTCATCTAAATTTCAAAGCAGATGTCTGAAATTGCACTCTGCAGAGGTAAGTGGCCTGTGAACATCAATGAATACTGCTACAGACCAATTCAATCCAGAGCTGTAGTCCAATCTAAACCAGTAAAACACCATAGTCTCTAGTGCATAGTCCCTTCTTCACATTTTAGCAGTTAAAAAGCACACATGACCAAGAGATCCCCTAGGAACAAGCAAAGACCCCCTCCTCCCAAGCAAATTCTGTTCTTGGACACTTTCACTGAGCTGTACCACACCAAGTGCCACAGAAAGAGAAGAACTGCCTCTGACAGTTGTGAAGGACAACCCAGTCTGAACTCTGCAGGCAGGCATCAGTCTCTTACCTACATAGTCGGGGTACGTTCCGTACGCAAACAGGTTCAGCAACTGATAATAAGCAGCATTAGACCCCTCAGCCAGCTGGGTGGTTAAGAAAACAAAAGAAATTCCATGTAACATGATAAGAGCCAACACAACACTGGCAGGCAACTTCTCCAGAGGACCTTTTAAATCTAGATAGGACAAGTAGTACCCAGAAAAGCAATTATAAGCAGATTTTAAAGAGCTGGACCCTCTCTAAGGCCTTCTGAGCTGCAGCAAATTTCAGCAGTTTCAGAATCAAGATGATCCAGCCATTTCTATGCACCAGAACTTAACTACAGTTTGGACTGTCAAATGCTGTCAAGTGCAGCACCTTGGGAGGTAAAAGAAAAAGGCAACTCTTAATTTCAGCTGACAACCTACAGGGCCAGCTCTTCTCATCATGTAACAAGCAAGCAGGCAATGGTGTCAGTTAAGCACCCTTGCTATTACTGGGAAAGCCAAGACAGCTTACCTGCAGAGCCACAAGAACTTAAAAGCAAAGCAAGCTACAACATTTTAGGTTGCATGCATTTCAAAGTAACAGCAATCCTCTCCATGCAAACACTTCATGGGAATAACTGCAGCACCAAACAGTGATTTTTATTCAGTGGGTTTTTTTAATGCCATTTGCTGCACATAGAGCCAGGAAAAAAAACTGGTGATTTGATGCTGAATAACCATTGAGGCATTTTTCAGCGTATCTAAGAGTCTGTTTTGAAAGCCAAACTTGCTGTAGCCCAGCTGCAGAGATACTCAACTGAGATTCCCTCACTGCAAGAGAGGGAGGTGCTGGTGAGGCATTCCCAGCCAAAGCTCTGGAACTTACTTTCCACCTTTGTTTGAAATGGTTGGGATTTGGTTACCACCCAGGCCCGATACACCAAGCATCTGCTCATGAAGACTTTTGCAGAGCACTGAGGTTATGCCTTCCAGGACAATGAAGGAGTAGAAAGGGGGGCTTTTTGTTGTTGGCTAACTAGGTGCCTTCTTGGAATTGTTACTGTGCTGCTGCCAGGCTTTTGCTATATTAGCAATGACATCAAGGTAGCAAAGCTTTACATCATGTTTTGTTTTTTTTAAAACATCTAATATATACAGGCAAAAGCACTGTAAATCTCATACACAAACATCTCATAACCAAGGTAAGTCACACCTGGCACAGAAATTTCACACACAGGCTGTCTGCGGAAACTTCTGGGGATCCCTTATACTGGGAGAGCAGAAAGGGCATTAGGTTGGAAATCTCTTACCTCCTGCACATTTGTTAACTCCAATAGCTCTCCAAAGACATAAACCCCGGGAGCCTCCAGCACTTGATTTATAAGAGCAGTCAGAGCTGAGCCACTCGTACCTTTGGCCAGTAAAATAAACTGCTCTAGAAGATTGCAGGACGGTTTCTGTTCTCCTGCCATTCTAGGTTTTCAACCTGTCAATAAAAGAACATGACATTAATACACCCTTTCTTCTCTGCTGAATTCTGTCTGGCAGTGGATCAGAAGGTTCACTCAGCATAGTAATATTCGGGTCCTGCAGAGCCAGGTTTTTCTTGAGCATTCAGAGGGCAGACCAGGAACCCAGCAGATTCAACTGTTCATTTACCTAGGGAGCAAAAATTATTTGCACAATATCTGAGCCAAGTTTCTGCAGACTGCCTGGTCTGTCCCCTGAAAGAATCTACTCCTGCTAGTGGGAAAGGAGTTTGGATCCCATGCTGTTTTCAGATGTTACCTTCTACTGATGCTGTCAAATAATATCAACTGTAAAGATGTATATGATTATGTCTATTAAAGGGGAGCTAAGACTTCCTCCTTCCTCATTACACAGCTTCAAAACAGCAGCTCATTTATTCTCTGTGAAGACCTGACCCACTGTAGGCATGTCATACCTTTTCCTTTAACATCAGCTACAGATAAAGTTTGTGTACATAATTCCTGCTGCTTTCTGAGCCCAAAAGACAAAAAGAACTGTGGCTGGTAAGTAGCTTTCCAGTCTCCTTGTACAGTTAAAGTGTTTTGGGTTAACTGGAAAGCTTAAGTGATAAAAATTCCCCTTTCTACAAAGGCTCTATTTAAATCCCTGTAAAGAGAGTTCTTTGTCTTCAGCTGTTGCCTGACATTGCTGGTGTGCATGTTGTCTCCCAGTACAACATGTTGCTTTTGAAATGTAAAATACTATTTATTAACAAGTTCAGCAAAATAAGTTGTTTGTTTACAAACAACTGAGAAAAAACATCCCAAGCATATTATTCAAACACCAAACAAAGAACCCTGCAGATAAGGAGGGGTTTTTGTGTAATGTTTGTATCAGATAACGAACAAGTACAGTACATAAACCCTCACTCTGGTGAAGAAAACCAGACACAGAGAAGTTGTCTCACTCTGTGTGACCACTGGGACTGCTGCCCTCCCAGGGGTAATACACTCACACAGGTGTCTGCACTGTTTTGCCATGCCTAACCAAATTTAGACTGGTGAAGGCAAAGCAGCCAGCTTCCTTTATTAGTCAACTTCTAAAATTACGCTTTACTCCATTCCATGACACCTGCAGGTACAAACAGTCTCAGCCTGAGCGGGCGATCTTTTGCACTGTCCACACAAAGACTTCTCAGCTCTCAGTGTGGTGTCTCTTTGGGATTCTTTCATCAGAGGAACACATGCAGCCTGACTGAACAGAATCATAAAATGGTTTGGGTTGGAAAGGACTTTAAAGACCATCTGGTTCAAACACCCCTACCATGAGTGGGGACACCTCCCACTAGGCCAGGTTGCTCCAAACCCCATCCAACACAGCCCTGAACACTTCCAGGGAAGGGGCATCCACAGCTTCCCTGGGCAACCTGTGTCAACATCTCACCACCCTCACAGTAAAGAATTTCTTTCCAATATCTAATCTAAGTGTCCTCTCTTTCAGCTCAAAACCGTTATCCCCTGCCCTAGCTAAGGAACAGCACCTCAGCTGCAACTGAGAAACCCCTGCAGTGCAAGAAGACTCAACGTTGTTTCCTTCTGCACCCGGGGGTTCATCAGCACTGCTCTCCCTGCCCACAGGTAAGGAACAGACACAGAGGACAGACAGTTTTCTCAGGAGGGTGCATGCACTGACCAAGCTGGGAATGAAATCCAGATTTCATCGTTCCCAAGCCATCGTCCTCCCTCACAGGTAATCAAAGCACACGCTGGTGCGTGAGGTTACAAAAGACTGGTTGGTTGCATCCATGCCCTGCCAGGAAAGGAACACCAATTATTTCCCGTTTTCCAAGCTAACGTTCAGACACCTGCGCTGCTACCGCAACGCGCCAGCACAACCGTGTCACCAGGACCGCCTGGCTGCTCTTCCCACCACCGGCTTGCCCCGGTGGGAAGTGA